GTGATGCTTCAAACATTGTGAAGGCATCGACAATAAATTGCTGAAAAAGTCTCTTAGAAGATAGTAGGGTGGTCGCTTCATTACATCGTTCGTGAATCCTAAACGCAAAAAATTCTCGCATGCTCATATATTTTTTGCCTTTTCCGGTAAAAATATCAGAAAAGCATATTTTCTCTCTATATCCGTCTTCACCATATGGAAACAACAAAGGATAGTGAAGTGCTAGGTACGATACGTGCAACTCATTTATCCGCTTGAGTCGGCCCGTACATGTCTCAAGTATGATATCCCTGTTACCCATATTCTCATCAATGTCTCCAACTATTAGAGCCGCAACTTCTGACGCTGTCGGAAGATTATATCTTCTACCATCTCCATTTCTTTTCCCAATTAGTCTTAACTTAACTTCGGAATCTCCACCTTCGGTAATTCTATCCTTAGCCATTCGAAATGATTGCACAAGTGGATTTTCTCTATCCAACATTTTTTTCAAATCGGATACAATCTCAACATGTAGATTGTTAGATTCAGAATTTTGTCTGCAAAAATAAAAAAATAATAATAATAATAATTAAATTATGAGGCATAGTATTTATCTATGTATAAACTCATATTTTCTATATGTTTAAATATAAACACACACGCATAATATTACCTTACAACTGACATGCGATTTGAAATTTCATTTTCTGTGTCGTATATATACAACTGCGCAAACTTAGGAGTCGATCCAGTAGCAGGAAGCAAACTACCAATCAAGTGGTAGTTTTGTCCGCTAAGCTTGAAAATTGGAGGAGAACCGCCTTGATTTATTTCCGATTCAATCTTTCCGCCCATAGAAGTGAAAGAGAACATGCTATTATAACTTCGAATGTTTTGACGAAAATGGTTACTCTTTTGTGAATTTCCAAATAATAGCTCTTGAAGTTCTATAGGAGGTATTCTCAATAATGGAAGTTGAATTTTCCCATTTATACAACAATTTGAATATTTGGGATTTGAAGCACTACTCCGCACTTTTTTCTCCGCATACCAAAACAAAGCACCACAAAACTCACATTTGTACGATGGGTCACCAATGTCTGAATAATCTACAATTTAAAGTCAAGATTAGTATTTGATTAGATGAATCATATTAAAGATTTATATAAAATCGGTATGTAAACTTACCAATTTTCTCCAAGGAATGATAGTTTTCTACATAATTTTTCCTAACATGACGTTGATCACGTTTTCCTTTGCTTATAGTACCATTGAAAGTTCTCCCTCCTGTATTAATAATACACCTTTTTCACATGTCTAATTTTCAAATTTCCAAATTTCCAAAAAATTTTGTTGTGTGAGTGTGTGTGTAAAGTCAATAAGTGTCCATTTACACTACTATAAAAAAAATAACGACAATAGATATTTGTCAATAATATTTACTTTGAGACTGTAACGTTTTTTTTGTGGAGGCATTAGTCTGATGATCGACAACATTAGCATCATTGGTCAAATTATTAATTGTCCGTTTGTTTGAACGTTCAACTGATGAATAACGCGGGCCAACAAAATTTGTAGAAACCTGAAGCAAAAATGACCCTACAAAGAAAAATGAATAAAGCATTGTAATTTTATAAAAATAAAGTAATATATTAAATCATTATAATTAAAAAAAAATACCATTTTCAATATTTGACAATGGAAATGCATTTGTCTCATCCAGAAAAGTCCTCCTTGATTCTTCTACATAACAATGTCTTGATAATGACATTTCATTTTCATCATCTCCTAAAATAAAATCATCATTATCCAAAAAAATATTGAAATACGAACAATTGAAATTTAATATTTAGTTATAAGCTAATTACAAATCAAGAAATATAAATTAAATTAAAAATTAATTATGAGCTAATTAAAAATTAAGAGATATAAATAAAATAATTAGAGTATCTCCCAGTTTGTTAAAAAATGGGTTACACGTCGGATTAATAGAAGGTGGGATCCAAAAGACTCTCAAGTGTAATAATGTGAATATGAGGTGACGCATGTAGTTAGCATTCTCAAATTTAATAAATTATTTACCCACATCTCATATGTAAAAAAATATTAAATTTTTTGTTGATAATAAAAAAAATGAATAATATAAAATTTATAATTTACAGTTAGATCAAGAAAAGCATATTTTTAAATGTGGATTTAGAGTATCAAATAATTTTTTTTTTAAACTTATACAAATATTATATAAATAGTTAATTTTTTATAAAGGTATGGCCCATGAAATAAAGACAATTCGTGTCTCTTTTAATGAACCACTTATTATTATGTCAAAATTGGTCTATTGATTTCCATTTTTATATCCAATAGGTTATAGGTTATTACTTTCTTATTTTATTTTTCTTTTTTTCTACAAATCTTCTATCTTCTTGTTCTATCAGATCTAACTTTCCCAAAAAAATATCCCAAATCCACATCCCAAATTTTTTTCCCAAATCCATATGATTTTTTCGAGCAGAAAATTCTATGGGCTACAGATTCGTCACGTTCAATCAAATTGACGCCATCGTGATTGACGCTTCAATGCAGTTGTGCGCGGTTGAGCGGTTCTGAAGCGGAGATTGATGGCGGACGGACCGGCTGGTGGCTGAGCATGAGTGAGTGGACGGCCTAGGCGGATGAGCGGCCGCTACAGCGAGATGGTGTCCAACAACTTCCGTCAATTCTTAAAACAAACAATAAGTCTCCTTCTATTTTTTTTTTTTGTAGATCGAGGAAAAAAAAAGTCTCCTTTATTTCTTTTTTCGTTACCAAGATGTTTAAGGAATGAATATGCAATTTTTATTTATTTTCTTCTAAATCTTGTCCTCTTCCAAATTCACAGACGGCGGCCATCCGAGAAACAACCGCCAGATCTGCGAGAATGGGTTGAACGATGGCGACAAAATGATTGGAGGGCAGCGAGAAACTGCGGCGTCCCCAGGTTGCAAGGCTATTCGTGGTCTAAGGTGAGTTGGTTTCTAGGTTACAAATATGGGACAAATTATCAATTTTCTGTTTTACTAATTGATTTGTGAAATTCGGGCCATACTCAGTGTAGTTGGTTTGTGAATGTGAGAATTGAGAACTTGTCTGTGAAATTTAGGCCCTCTCTTGGTCCTATATGTATATCTATTTGTCTATATATGTAGATATGTGTGTACACTCGTGTATATGTGTATGCTTGTGTGTATTAAGACATATGTAAAGAAGTTTTCTCCTAATGTGCAAATTTATAAGAACATTCTGAAAAATATATCCTGGAATTTAGGAGTTATGTAAATATCCTTACCTGGGGTCACAATGTCGCTATGCTTCCTTTTTCTTGGTGGTATGGTTGTAGATTTTGTTATCTTCATTCTGTTGATGTATCTTGAATGTAAGGGTTATTCTGATGAATATACTATGTTTTAGTAATTTGAGTTTGTTTCTGAAAAATGGAAATAGGATTGAGCCTGAAGGAGTATATTAAGATTTAGGGGAAAAAAACAGAAGTTCCTTATCGGTTTATAAGGACTATATATTCTGTAACCTTAATAAGTTAGAAAGAGTGTCTTTAATGGTCAAATTGCGATGTACGAAGGGATTGTTTAATTTCCTAGATATATTTGAATGAGTTACAAAAAATAGAAGCTCAATAAATTAGAATAGTAATTTTCAAGATCTTGGGTAAGATGAAATTATTTTTTCCTAATAGAATTTCCATTCTGTTGCTTTGGAACAGTACAAAACTGGTTTCTAGAGTGAGTTATGAGTTATAACTTATAAATATCTTGTTCTCAGTCACAATTATCAATGAAATGAAACCCATTCATAACTCAAAAATTAACTTTAAATCCTTCAGATTGAAGTTGGATTGGTAAAGAATGCATTAAAAATAACATTACACATAAATTATACATAAGCAAGTAATAGACAAAAAAATAATGCAATATAGGATCTCAACTGCAATTTATGATCTGCAATAGAAAGATAAATTCTAAGCCAACCATTCCTAAAGAGAAACAAATTTATAATTTGTAATTATAAGAAAGACTTTTGAATATGTGTTCAAAAAGAATTTTATAAATGAATGGTTTAATTTTCTTGAATATCAACAAAGAAATATGGGCTTTAAATAAGTCTGTAATAAGTCTCTGGCCTTGGGAATACATATATTTTTGGCAAGATAGAAATTCTTATTTCATTGTAAAAAATAGTGAAGTTTCAATAAAGTCTAAGGTACTTATTTGTCACAATTTTTATTTTTTTGAAGTCTTGTATCCTAATTGATATCCTTTGAATTGAGGGAGAATGATTATGCAACCAAGTCAAATTTATGCTATTCGATGTTAAAAAAATCTAGATTTGGAACATGGTTAAGTTGATTGTGTTTGCCACTAAAACTCATTTGTTTGAGGGAATTATGAAATCAATCATTTTGAGTCTGGGAACATAAAAGGGTCCACACAATGTTTGGTTTATATATGTGGACACTCAAGTTGAATCTGGGGACAGTTAGGCTAACCAGTCTAAATTTTCCTCTACATTATTCCAACTCAATTGGCTCATACTTTCAATAGCCAACAAATGAAGGGATAGAGTTTTCTGCCCTTTAATTTTGTAGCTCCAAATAATATAAAAACAGAATATATAAAAATTGACTATTTGATGAAATTATAATTTTTGTAGTATGATTTAATGAATCATGGAGATCTTCTTTTAAATTATATTCTAGTTTGGGAGTTGGAACTTTGTTTATAGGTCCAATTATGAATTTTCATTTCATCTTAAGATGTTAAATATAGTCCCATGAAGAAATTAAAAAAGAATTAAGAAGTAAATAACAATAANATAATTTTTAAAAGGAACATGGTATATTTCCATTGTCCCATGATCTTACATATTTTAATAAGGAACATGGTATATTTCCATTGTCCCATGATCTTACATATTTTAATAAGGAACATGGTCTATTTCCATTGTCCCCTAATGTTACATATATATTACTCTTGTTCTCCTTCTTCTTCTTCTTCCTTCATAACTCCCTTCATTTTCTTATCCTTTCCACAAGCAGATAATTCATCAGTAAGTCTTTTCTTTACACTTGAAAGCTTCGTCTTGTCTATAGAAGTTGAAGCTGCATTCACTTTTTTCACTGGAGTACTCACTTCGTCATCAGAATCATCCTGCAAATATATTATCAATTTAAAAGTTCTCTTCCATATAAAAAAAACAAAGAGTTTAAGGTAGGAAAAAAAATCATTAACAACCTCAATAGGCTGAAAATCAGCACTCTTCAGTTTGGAGAACAGGTCCGAATTCCCACTTTCTTGTGGTCCACCATAGTACTTGTCCAATAGCTCTGGATCAGCCGTTGCCTTGAGAACGGTATAGGTCATCTCTTTATTTTTAGGTCTCCCCAATTTTTGGATAACCTTTACCTTGAAAATAACCTTCAAATGAACCAACTTCAGAATCTCCTTAGGAACATCATTAGCTTCTGCTTCATAATCAACCTTTGATTTTAAATTATTCGCTGTTTTTCCAATCAAGTCGGTGCTCTCCCTATCCCAAAGCAGAAACATAGCAATTCCTGTTTGGTCAGCCACAGTAACAGGAATTTTGAACCTGAAGATGTAAGCAAAAGAAATAATTACATGACATATTAAAAAAAAAAAATCATAGAGTAGTAAAAATCAAAGTTTTTGAAACCTGTGCTTTCCCGTGAAATCTTCCTTATCGCATCTAGAACAGTAAAACAACCCATTTGTAGGAGTCATTTTGAATGAACAATTATTACATGCGATGTAACTCCATTGTCCACCACAGTCAAACTGAATGATTCTTGCACAGACCCAGTAGTTCCCGGCCTACATTAGTTAATTATTAGTCAATTTTATGTTTAGATAATAGGTGAAAATTTTTGAAAGAGATGAAATATAAGTACTTCTTCAGTTGCATGGAGTTGGTCTATAGTCTTAAAAATTGACTTTGGGCTTTCAAGCTCCTCCGCTAGTGTAGCAGAAGGTTCATATCTTCGTTCACGAATATTGGTGATCGGTACCTCAACTCTCCCTTGAATGTTGAACCTAAAACAGAGAGGTTAAGTATTGATTGGTTTTGATGAATTAGTGAATTAAAGAATGAAATATAAATCATCACTACCTGTTGCGAAACTCATTTATTTCCAAAGTATCACCATTTATGATGAGCTTGGTAACATTGAACGTGTTCGACACTCGAATTTGCCTTTGGAACTTTTTGGGGCGGCACATTTGAACAATAATGACAACACTATCCCCTTCATTTGTGTTGGCTAAGTGATTCATCAAGTAGTCAACATACTCACCCCACAACGTGCAAGACATTGTGTTTCCCCTATAAAAAAAAATATAAATAAAAATTTGAAATTGAATGCAAACTTATATAAGTTAAAATAGAATTTAATTCATTTACTCAGGATCCTCCAAAAGTATTTCCATCAGGATTGTTTGTTGTCCGCCATACTCAACCTCGCGGGGTGGGTATCTCATAGCAAGGCGTCCAATAACATCTGGGGTTTTAAATTTTCATTAGTATATGTAATAACAAAAAATATATAGGACTTTGTGTAGAATATTATACCAATGAGTACGGTTTCATCAACCGAATCAGCTTCAGCAAGTCTTTGAAAAGGAATAAAGTCATAGACCATTGTAGGGAAGCTATCATCCTTCAATTCAGAGATATTGGATCTCGGGACAAAGAAAATTCGGTAGGGAGCAGTAGTTGTTTTGTAGGTCATTTTATTTTCAGCAACAATGAATGTCCTAATTTTATAAAGCATATTTTCTTTCAAAACAGAAAGGAAAGTCGAAACTTGTTCGTACTTCACGGTGGCGTGAATACGATCCCCCTACATTTGAAAAATGAATGTTGTCAAGATAAAGTTGATATATAAAGTACAACAAATGCAAATTAACTTACAGTTCTATCATGGAAAACACACTCCAAAGTTGAAATCTTTGACTTGTCATTGTACATAGGGACAGAGTACAACCGAACTAAGCGAACACGCAATCCCCAGTGCATGTTTCCAGGTTTGAGCTCGCTTATCATGTTGAAAAGAACCATTTTTTAGAGACTTATTTTTCAATTTTGCTATTATTATTTCAGTAAAATTGAAAGTCTTTGTAGTTTATTTTTCCATTTTCTTCAGTATATATATAGCAACATAGTGATTCTTAGTCTTCCAAAAAATTGAAGATACAATTAATAATTTTTTAAGATATGTTGATAACTTCAATAAGTGAATGTTGACTGTTAGCATGTTAATAAGAATTTTAATTTAATTAGATTCAACTTTTTTTCTCTTGGCAATTGATGATTGATTGCATAATTAATATGTATACAGAATTTGAAAGGTTTATTCTCTAATTTTTTGGCAATTTTGCTTGCAGGTCGGTCAGGCTACAAAAAGGAAAAGTTGTAATTGGAATTTGGATGTTATTGATTTCAAGCCTAGAATAAATAAAGAAGTTATTGGGAGCATTGATTGTTGATAGCAGCATGATTGGGGTGACTGGACGAATAGGGTCTTGGCCAACTTTGAGCACAATTTCCATTACAACTTTAGTGGCTGGGACTGAAAGAAATGCATTTAATATCTATACATGAACCAAAAATTTCTGCCTTTTAAATTTTGTTTGCAGACTACAAAAAGTAGATATTTATTGAATGTTGGACTGCTATTTAAAGCTACATAGTTATTTGTTGTCAGTTTTTTAATGTATATACATGAATCAAATTATTGATGCCATTATGGATTATTTTATTTTAATTCATCAATTAATGTTTGTTGTAGTTCTCAATTTCAGACAACATTTAAACTAATTTATGATAAGCAATAAAAGAGATTTTTTGAGCGGGAAAAGAACTTTGTTCCAGCTGATTCACTTTAATATATATATAGATATAGATATTTAGATTGTCAGATCTTAATCCAAACCCTGAAAACAAAATAGAATTAGGGTTCGACTCTTATAGTCCCTTTGATCCGATCAGGTCTCACGTTTCTTGCCTTTCCAATCATTTTTTCCTATCCTCTGACGTTAATTCACTCTGGTGTCGTGATTGACCTTTGTAGACTCTTTATGAATTCGTTGGAATTTTAATCATCTGTAGATTTTGATTTATTAAAGTTCTGCTCCTTCCATTTCAGAGGCATATTCTGCGGTAATCATGGCGCCCCTATTTAATGCCAATTTTCTCTGTTCTATTATTTAATGCCTAGAAGAAGGTTTAAAGAAGCAATGTGTATTTGCCGCATTTCTTAACTATCCATGATCAGTTGCATAGTCTTTATCCGAGCCTGTAACTGGCGTGGCAAGGAGGCATGAACATAGTTAAAGGTGTAGCGGACCTCATTTGGAGGACTTCGGGTGGCCAAAGTGGAGAATACAGTGCAGCCGTACAATCTGGGAGGTTTACACCACCCACTCCGTCGATCAGCTTCAGGTAGATTTTTTTTTTTTGGCTCCCAATTGATTTTGTCTGTATGTATTATGGTTGGGGGCACAGTCTAGGATATTGGAGCGACTACTTATTGCTTGTAAGTAGAGAGCTTGCAATACCTAGAATTATCATCCTATTTTGGCGAATTTATCTAGTAAATAGTTTGTATCTGCTAAATGAAATTCGTCCTTGATTGCTCAAATTCAGCAATTAAGTCGTTATTGAGCTAGCTTGTCTACTTGTTCTTAGTGGCAACTTCTTTGCTTCTCATATGAGTGTTGTTTTTAAAATTTAGCTATGCATGCTTGCTTTCCGTTTAGAAAAGTAGTATATGTTTTTTATTTACTTGGAGTTGGGGAAAACTTTTTTGATTAATTATTGTAATCCACAATGTGTATGTATCTTTGGCTAAAATATTTATTTGCGTATTCTGTAGTGAGGTAGGCGATGAAGGGATCTTGAAGACTCTCTTGGAAAGATACATAAATACTGATGAAGAGGTATGTCTGTGCAGTTATCTTGGTCATGTTGTGTTTTTCAAACAATGGTAAGTAGTTGTACCCGTATAAAACAGCAAAACTTAAACTGTCTTACTACATCAGTATTGATTAAAAACTTGTAATACAGCACAGATGATTTTCTGTATTACCTCATTTTTCCTTTGAATTTTTTGTATATCACATATAAGTACCATTAATGGGGAAAATAAAGGTTTGGGATGCTATTTTCTGAAATTAGGTGTGCAGTAGCCGTCATCCAATCCTCTGGAAGACCTATTCATTTTTTAATCTCCATTCAACTCACTCAAAAGGATGATATACTATGCAAATATTAGAAGTAATTGATGATTCTAGAGAAACAGCTTGATTACAACCTCAAAATGTTTTGTTTCTACACTTTCTTTTTTATGTTCTTTATTCTTATGAGAAGAAGTATACGTGCTTATATTTTCTCACATTCAGGTGGAAAAGAGAAAGTTGTTCCAAATCTTTATTAAGCAATTCTTGACGACATACCGGAATTGGAAACCATCTAATCTGGGTCAGTCTCCTGAAGAAGTGCTTGTCAGTTCACCTGTAAAATATGATCATAATGTTGGGGATGTGGTGGTTGGCTGCAACTTTGGCCACCCTGCTGAAGTAATACAGATCTTGATTGAAGAAGTCTCACAGATAACCAGACTACTTGCTGACAGTAAGTTGGCTACATCCATAATGAGCTGATCAAATTTTAGTTGATGTCAGCGAGATATTAGCTATTTTTATACTGTTCCTCTTCTACTCATGATTGGCGTGATTTCCATGCATCATATTATAATATGATCATGGTGTTTCCTCCTATGCTAGCTTTCAACTTGATCTCTTTCCAGTTAGTTTTTAGTTTTTCAAACTTCAGTGGATTTGTTTTCAGATCAAGTGGGTATTACAACATGCATCAACATAACAAGTGAATCATGGATGACCTTAGAAGCTCTGACTGTTGTGACTCTATCCATTCATAACTGCAAAGTCTTTGGTTACTATTCTGGGATTCAGAAGCTTACAGCATTGATGAAAGGTATGATTAACACATTGACAGATGTTTTGCAGCATCCTACATTTTCTACTGTTACTATTGATGTCAAATGGTCAAATTTTGATTGGTGTTAATAGTTCGTATGTCAAACTCAAAGCTGATAATTTTGGTCTTGGCCAATCATATATGATTGTGCTCTTATATTTCAATTAATTTACTGAGTATCAATCCCAATGTCTGGCATTCATTTCCATTTTGTTGGTTCAGATTTTGTGTCCTGAAGGTATACATTTTGAAGGACAAGAGTATTATTTTGTATCATATGGTAATAAAAATCAATCAGTAGAGGGTTAGGGTTAGGGATTCAAATGACTCTAAAATTGGAAGATCTTGGCCAGTTTAAATGAATTCCGAGCAGTATTTTGACTTATTTTAAGTAATGTATCTTTTTTTTTTATTTATTTATTTATCTGAAGATGGAGCTGGAAGAGTCATTGTTGACAATTCTCCTGGCATAGTGCTAATAATGGACTAGATCAAAATGGCTCAATTAAATTCTAGTGCTTCTTCTATTAGTGAAGTTTCTAGAAAAAAAAAAATATATCAAACGGCACAATGCACCTTGGGTCGCTACGGAAACAACCTCCTTGTATAATTACAAGGGTAAGGTCTGCGTACAACTGACCCCCCAGACCCCAACCTGTTGGGAATATACTGGGTATGTTGTTGTTGTTGTTGATTTATTTATCTGAAGATGGAAAAATATATAGTTGTGAAAAATAACAATTAGTTGTGGACATTACATCCAATCAGCTAATGTGGACTTCGACAATGTATACGAAATCCTTATCTACAAGTTGATCGATGCAAATGAATTTGCAGGGAATTATAAAACTGATAGTATGCTGAATTGCGTGACATACCATTTTATGCTGTTACAATGATTTTATCTAAAACTTATTTTCCTTGTGCTTTGTTGCCGTTTTACTGAGAAATCTGTCTGTCACTTACTATACTGCATACTTAATGCTTACTCCTGTTTTCTGTTTTGTAGCTGCTGTTGTCCAACTTAAGACTATTACTAGTGCACTTCAAGCAGATCAAAGTTTGTTAAATAATATGGTACAAAACACTGGAGCTTTGCAGCAGCTATTGGTTCATGTGGTGTCCATCATTTGCCATTTCATTGATTTGCCTTCAAGCATAGAGGAAAATGTGCTGTTGAAAAGTATTGACATGGAACCATCTGCAGCTAGAAGTGGCGAAAATATTAGCCTTTCTCGTGCTTTAAAACCTGCTGTTTCTGAAGCAACCTTGTCGTGGCATCAAACAACTGTTGTATCAGTTATGGAAGCTGGTGGACTTAATTGGTTATTAGGTAAGGTATGCAGCTTCAGCTTTGACTTCTTTTCTGTAACTTGACCATACTATTCTCACTCATTCATGCGTGTATGCTCTTCCTTGATTTGTGGGGATCTTATGATGTATAACTACGTGCAAGCTTCTTGCATCTTGTTCATATAGGAATAGGATGAAGAACAAAAGAACGTTGGATAAGGGATTAAATTTACAGTAAATTTACTTGGTGTAGCCTGTGAAGTTGATGGAAAACCATAAATGTAGCTAAAATAAATTGTACAGTGTATAGTTAGGTCGCACACTCATCATTTATATGCAAGAAGTGTTCTTACATATGAATACTCAAAACCATGCATGTAATAACATTGCAAGGAATCTGCACCATACTATTGAGGGCAGTGCTGTTAAACTCGGCGAGGCGGCTCCTAAGTGCCAGGTGACCCCAGGTGGCTCGAGTAATGGAAATTTGTCAAACAATAGTTCACTCGGCCTAGTGATGTTAGGCTGCCACATAGGCGGCCATTGTTTAGTAAAAAAAATAACAAAAATAAATAAACATTAGAAGTAATAGGCACCAGCTAGACACTAGGTGGAAATATACCACCTAGCGAGTTCTACTACATTGATTGACGGTTAATACCCGTCAGCAAAGTCCCTTTCTTGTAGAAAGATTTCTCCATAATCTATTAATTCAATTATGTTGGATTGAATAGTTTGGGTGGAATACAAATCATTTCACTAGTGTATGGCTGCATGTCATAGGTAGAGTCTTGATTATAATTTGTAGTTATGTTGCAAATGTTTGTATTTTTTCCCCTCCAGTTGGCCATCAGGTTTTCTGTTCTTTAATGTAAAATGTGAAAATGGGTGTCTGTTTTAGATTCTTCCCATCCCCCATCCCCACAGTTCCACGCTTAAGACGTGCATAAGTTACTGTCCACAACCTGCTGCACTCCCTCCACAGTAATGTTACTTCTTTATATGAATTTGTATCATCATCAGTAGAAATGTATTTGTACACGCTGAAGTAAATAGCAGTGGACAAATATGTGAAAATGGAGATTTCTTTTTTCGGCATTGTATGCCCGTTACTTCTGTGGTAATTTTTTATTTTTTATTTTTACTTTCGATTTTGTGTGAAAAGGAACTTCCTTTCTCAGGTTTGCAAACATTGTTCTTGAATAAGGTTTTGTGTAGTGGTTGGCTATCTACAGTGCATGTGCTCACTTAGTGCATGTTTGTAAGCACTTTGTGCAGAAATCCATTTAAACCGATAAACTTCTACAAAATGGGATTCTCTAATAAATTAACAATGTCACATCTTTCGAATGGGCTTTCTGGAAATGACCGACTACAATATGCAACACCCAGTTCATATTGGAAATGGAGTTGTACATCCAAAAGTCCATGTAAAAAGTGCTCCAAAACCCAGCATCAAGTTTTGTGTTTCATGCAATATTGAATGAACACTCATCATGTTATTAATTTTGTTTCAGAGATATTGCGTCTGATCAGGAGATTGATTATGAAAGAACAGTGGGCAGACATGTTGCTTCAGCATTTGACTCTCAGAGCTCTTCGATCAGCTTTGTCTGGTAATCAACGTGGTCAAAATCATTTCCGAAGTATTGGAGGCTTGGAAGTTCTGTTAGATGGACTGGGAGTTCCCTCAGTTGATAGATTGTTTTCAAGTGCTTCATCAAGCTATGAACTAAGGTAACCTCTTTGGTCTTGCAGAAGTATGCCTAAGAGCGTATCTTACTTTTTGCAGGTTCAACATAGTATGGTGAGGTTAATTCTGGATCTTTAATTGGTTTCCCTTGGTTGGCTGATAAAAGTTTCATTTTGTTCTTTGTTCTTTAAGCTACTATGGTTAGTTCGATTGTGAAGCCACTGTTTTCATAATCTCAACCAGTAACACTGAGTTACTGAGTCGATGATGAAACTTGAGAGCTAGCCAGCAGAGCATTCATTTTCTTTTTTCTTTTCTGAAGTTCAGCCTCATCGAGCAAGATTGTGCATGGCTTTGGTGAAATTAATTGTCATGAAAATCCATCAATTGGCATATGTTGACATCTTAAATTCGGTATATGACATGAGGCGTCTATTTGAAGTTGATAGAATTGATATTTGGTTGGAAGATGAGAATGGTTCATAGTTAACATCCCCTTTGGCTTAGACAACATGATATATTTATACAAAACAAGCAAGTAGAATTGCATTTTAATTTGTATATTTTCTGTAATGCAAATTTACTTGAGATTTGAATTTGCCTTGGTTTATATGATATGAACCTGAATTAGTGCAATTATATATTTTGTTCCTGTTATTCTTTTTTACCTAATAACTTCAAATTTTGGTTTTTCTTCCGGCAGGAGCCAAAATCCTTTGGAGGGTATTTTTAATCTCCACGTTCTCTCATTGGAGAGCCTCAGGGAAGCTATGTATCCTTGAAACATTCTTTTAACTGTTGAACCCACATTATCTAAAAGGCTATGGGATTTCAAGATAACTGTTGTTTTCATTAATTGGCAATATTAATTTTGCATGATACTTTATCCAAAGTTCTACTCTTGTCTACTGATCTTCTCAAGCACTTGGAAGTCACTTTTCTACTGCATAAGAGAACTTCTCCCAAATCCTGCATTTTAAGGGTCGTATCGGTCTATGGTTGTTGAAGTTATTCATAACTACTCTGGAATAATAAAGTACTAACATTGTACCAAAAGCTGTAAACACTATATAATACTCTGTTGCCCATCAACGACCTAAAATCAAAGCCTTGTAATGGAATTTTACCAGATGATAATTATATATTGCAAGCAGAGTTATTAATGGTGGATGGCAGTAAATGGCGGCAGGCCAAAATCCCACCATAGCGTCTGCCGTGGCGGCCTATGGTGTAGCCATAACCGCCATCCTTCACAAGTTTAGCATAGCGGTTTGGCGAAATTTGCCACGCCATGGCCGCCATTTGATAACCCTGATTGCAAGAGCTTATGGAAGGGGGAACAAAGTGAAGAAACATTCACTAGCTATGCATGATCAAATGGCAAACAATACTGATTTCTTTAACTGGTATGTAGCTACGGAAATCTGAATAATTTGCAGTTTCTTTGTGAGAATGGAAGGATACAAAAGTTTGCAAATAGTTTCTGTTCGGTTGCATTTATGCTTCAAGAGTACAAACGGGGCAAGGACTCCTCTTGGAAGAAGTATCTGGATGAATTTGAGGAAAGAAAAACTAATGCTTCAGATATTTGTGAAGGGGAGCTGTTCCCTCCATTTTCATCCGATCCATATTATGTAAAGAATTGGAAAGATTATGTTGCTAGGTTGAGTGGAGCTCTTTGTTTTTTCCTTCTTGAAGGAAAAGAAAACACATTCTACCGTGTTCAACCAACTGTCAGCGGAAGTACCATAATGATGTCAGCTGTGTATGCCGAACTTTCTGTAAAGTGGTTCACGAGGGTGCTTCTAACGGTTTTTCCATGCATTAAGGCATGTTCGGATCAAGGAGAAATTCCCAACCACTTAAGGTGGTTCAATCTACTATTTCTCTTTCCTTTTCCTCGTACATAACTGCTTTATGTTGTGGTTGTGTGAGTTATAGTTCTTAGCTTTCTTTTATTTTTTAAGTTTCCATTTCAAATTTTGAGTTTTGTACTATTTTGTGCTTCTTTTATAGGATCTTTGCCTGCACGATGCAACATTATGTTCTTTTCGCGTTTAAAAAGGTTCTTCTTTCATCACCGTCGTTAGTTGATGTCTTCCGTGCTGAAGGTGTGTGGGATTTCATCTTCTCTGAGAATTTTTTCTACTTTGGCCCAGCTCCTACAGAGTTTTCTAGACAGAATATTAGTTGGTGTAAGGTTCCTTTAGTGGATGAAGAAGGATCTACTTCAGGTTCTGTTGTGGATCAACCTAACTCTAATCAAGTTGAGATTCTACAAGTTGAAATAATCTCATTCATGGAGTTTGCAGCTACTTTAAGTGGAAGTATCCATAACCTGGTTGGTTCTTTCTTCTTGTCTGTCTGATATTTCTTGTTTCGACGCTTCTCTTCTCTGTTGCTGTCTTACTTATTCAAATTGTACATGCAGCTGGCCTATTTCCTGGTGGCCTGTCTTGCATTGGTATGAATAAGTATCAGTATAGTACGGAATGGACTTCTTATTTGTCCTTGGTTTTATTCATGTGTTTCTTGATGGAATACGATTTCATAAGAGAGTAATGCAGCTTGCCTAGTTTCCAACTTTCATCACTTGGTTTTTTTACCTTCATTTCTGATTCTGTTCCAAAGCACTGTGAATATATTTTTCATGTTTTTGGTAGAGTGTACTTTAATACTTGTTTTGCAACGAAATATTGATTGTTTTGCACTGATAATTTCCAGGAGTGCAGCAATTTTTTTTTTTTATTCTCCGGATGTATATAAGGTGTTTGCAGTGACATAAATAGTCAATATATTTTTCTTTTGTAACTTCTAATAGATTGTCTATACCACTAGTTTAAGATTAAAATGGCAAATTTTTTTCTATTTAACATTTTTTTGTATGTTTTTACAAATAATTGTTTGTGTTAAACAATGCTGAATGGGTATTTATGGGGTTACGTGTCTCTTACGTAACCCAATGTAGCTTGGGTAAATTGTCTTAGGTATATAAAGTTATGGGGCAAAATGTTGCATAAATTATAAATTCATTCAATAACACGTTGGCATAATAGGCGATCAAGTGAATCATTTATTGGTTTTCGGCTTCTGAGAATACTTGACTGACTAAAATTGGGATTGTTGACTCCTTCATTGAATGGAGGAACTGAGGAAGTATATATAGGCGGTAAGCATCTACATTAACTGGTAAATATTGGATACGCTGAATTGCATGAGTGCCTGAATTATGCTGTTTATTATGGTCTCGCCTTTTTAAGTTTTGATGTCGACATTCTATAAGTCGGCAAGTGGAAACACTCTTCCTCTTTTCATTACGAAGAGTTTTGAATTAGTTGATTATTTATTGAAGCATGCACATGAACTTGTTTTGCTAGAATACCTAATGGTTCTGAGTTTGGCTCTCAATTTGCTCCACATGCTTCCTTTTGGTCCCTTATCTGACGGTTATTCTCTCACAGCCTGAATGTACAGTTTTGCTGGATGCTCTTGAACAATCTGCCTGTAATCCTGAGCTCGCCACTATTCTAGCGAAGAGCCTGACTCGTGTGTTGCAGATTTCAGCTGAGAAAACAATTTCTTCATTTAAGACACTTTCTGCAATTCCTCGGATTCTCAAAGTTGCCTGTATTCAGGTCGAGGAGTCTAAAAGGCCTGTCACTATATGTTCTTCTATGGAATCCACTTCTAGTGGTGAGGCATCCTGTCAAAGCCATGAAATGTCTGGTTCATCTGAGGGGACTGGTTGGGCACAATGCATGAGAACATTCTTGGAACTATTTGCAGGATACTTTTCAGTGTCAGATGACACAAAACTTTCCATTTTGAGCAATTCTATGTGTGTCAGTTGTATGTTTGAATTGTTCTGGGAAGAAGATCTAAGAAATCTTGTCCTCAATTATGTTCTCGAACTTATGAAGGTACACTATTCCTGTGTTTAATATTATGTTTTGAATTGATCCAGGACTATGAAAATGGATGCACATCAGCTTCTTAGATGGTTTAAGTTTTCTCTTTCTTTTCACAGATTGTTCCATTTTCTGAGGAGGTGCAGAAAGCGAAAGTATTTCTATGCTCTAAATACTTGGAAACATTCACGCATTTGAAAGAAAGTGTTAAGAATTTTGCAGATTTGTCTATTGAACTGCTGGTTGGGATGAGAGAGTTGCTATTAACAGATCGTGTGGTATTACATTTTAAAATTTTATTTTCATAGACACAACAATAGTGGGATAAGTCCTTGCAATTGACTTTGTCATTTTGCTGTCTTCTGTTGCCAGTATTATCAAGATTTGTTCCGTGAAGGTGAATGTTTTTTGCATGTCCTATCTTTGTTGAATGGAAATCTGAATGCTGAAAATGGCGAGAAGTTGGTTTTGAATGTGATCCGAACACTGATTTGCTTACTGTCACAGAATGATGCTTCGAAGGTACCTTCTTTTTCATTGATTGTGGTTCATGTTGGAACCCTACATAAATGCTAATGTTCCAATTGGTTGCAAGTCCTACATTGAGTTCTAATTTGAGCTGTAAAATACCAAGATTCATTAATTTGTTCTCTAAGTCCTTTCTGCGCGGTTCTGTCTTAACATGATACAAGTTAGAATAAAATTTTGAACTCTGAAAATTTTCACTAAAATGCTCTAGCTATGAACTTGTGCGCACACATGCACACACACACACAGAGAGAGAGAGAGAGAGAGACCACGGAGATTTAGCCTGGTGGTATTGGAGCATCTGTTAGTGGATAGAGGATTGGGGTTTGAACTCTTTT